CCCCCCCCCCGCCCCACCTCCGCCTCCCGCACCCCCAACAGCGCAGGTGGCACTGCTAAAATTGTAGAAAATTCTCTTCTGCAACCCCGGTCGTTACCCCGCCCTTCCCGAGGAGGCCGCCCTAGATCTGCCCCTGGCTTCATAACAAGGAAGCCAGACTATGAGTTTCAAGTTTAGAAGATGCTGGAGGTCGTGCTCCTTCCTGCTGGAGGATGAATTTTCGATTTCGCCGGTGAAGTTTCGATTTAGTTCATTCGATTTGATGGTACACTGGTATTGATATATATCATGGCGTCAAACCCTCCAACAGCTTGCTTCTAAACAGCGCTCTCGAAGGGGAGATCCAACCGCAGTTTTACCAGCGTGTGGTTGCTTTTGGCATTTGTTACCATTCGGGATTACGAATTGGAAATCCCTACGGGCGTGGGAGGGAGATGTGCGGTTTTCTTGGATATGCTGCCGCAATGCGATGGTACCAAGGGTACCAAAACCTCGAATAATTTGCTTCTAAACAGCGCTCTCGAAGGAAAAAGCCAACGGCATTTTTGCCAGCGTGTGGTTGCTTTTGGCATTTGTTACCATTGGGGGTTACTTCCGAGTAGCACCATCTCTGTTATAGCATGAATACGAAGAGGGTTTTGACACTTTGACAAATTGTTAAAGTAACGAAGTCTGCGTACATTTTCGTGATTGGCGATCGATGGGCGTAAAAATTTTTCGGAAACCCAAATGTCTCCGTTCATTTTCAGATTCTCAAACTTACTCGGTGGTCAGTACAGGAAATTTGTTACTTTAAAATATGGTAGAACAGCCACCGACACCAACTGTGGACTTTGATGTGCTGTTTTTCGACCATCTGATTAAAGAAGAACCAAAATTGGTGAACAAAGTATACAGTGCTGCACGACGCAAAGAATTGGATGTTAAACGGGTAAGTATACGGGCGCCCAAATTTACCGCGCGTAATATATTGTAGGAAAAATTTTTGTGATTTTTGTAGTTTTATGAAACAATGTATGAGCTAATTTTGAAGTGTTAATACGCTTTTTTATGTCAAACCTAAGTCACGTGCACTATCAATATCACAGTGAATATTGCAAAAAATTTTTGTGATTTTTTTGAGAATTTTTTTTTGGTGATTTTTGTGGCTTTTTTTGTGTTTTTTTTTCACAAATTTTTTTTTTTTTTGATTTTTTTGTACATTTACATTGCATTTTTACACCTTGTTACACTATATACTTACACTTTACACTGTATTTGTACACTTATATTGATTTTTTTGTACACTTATATAATTTTTTTTTTTTGATTTTTTGTACAATATTTTTGATTTTTATGCAAAAAAAAAGGTTTTTTTCTTCCAGCGTTCGTCAGGAAGTTTTAAACCCCTAAAAGAAGTGGTTTCCGAATACAACAAACTAGTTTCCCGGAAACGTGCAGCAAGTGATCGTGTGAATCGATCTCCACAGGCTAAAAAAGCATTGAGACAAGGCGAACTATTGGGTTCGAGTGATGACAGTTCGGACAGCGATGATAATCCGATCAAACGAGCAGCGGTTCGTTTTTTTGGCGATGAAATGATGTTTTTTTTATTGCAAAATCTCAATTTCTCAAGGATAATTTAGGAGATGGCTTTATTGATGAGATCTGATAGCTTAGAAACAAATAGTGGGGGTGGGGGTCCCAGACCGTATGGTCAAATCTCCGGGGATTTCGTGCGGTGACGCTGCCGCCTCCCAGAGATCAGGATCGGTAACCCCGCACTACCGCGTTAAGATCCCAGGAAACGGGGCTCATGTGCCGTTCTAGAACATTCGGGAATACAAACCGGCAACTTGGTGGGATTAGTGGTAGACCAGCGAGGGCTGCAAAGTAAGTCGCGGGTTCGACTCCGTTGATGGGACAACCAGTGTCCCTGTACGATTCGTTCATTCGTTTTCATATTCTTCTTTTTTCTCTTTCTCTCTGATTTCTCTCTCATCCACATATCTGTCCTGCAAATTAGTCACATGACTGTTCAGAACATGGCAGGTAGGAGGCTCTACTGATGAATCCCGCTCCTACCCGCACACACTACTCGGTCTGTTTTTACAGCTAAGGGATGAAACACAGAGTCTTACCACAAAGTAAAATATCCTTCAGCACATGACACTTAAGACCAATCCTTCCATTCTGCTATTTCATGATAAATTGGTACCAGTAAGTACAAAAAAGTCAGACCTGCCACAGCTTACTTCAATGTAACATCGATCAGGTGGTTGCTTTTTTTGGCATTTGCTACCGTTCAGACTACTTCCGGATGTCTCCGCCGCTCGCAAGAAGGGTTTTGACTTAGCTTTGCTTCTAATGTGGATGTATTCCTATAATTCTTGTAGCACCGTTAAACCGGATTGGCACGTCAGTTGCCTGAGTGATTCTGAAAGTTTTGGACACTGAGAGATAGCCTTGTAAATTAAGAAAAATGTGAAATTTAACGATGAAAATGTAAAATTTAATGGCAAAAATATAAAATTTTGTGACGAAAATGCAAAATTTAACGAAGAAAATGTAAAATTTTGCGACGA